CACTTCAACTCGGTGGAGCAATTCGCTGGCCGAATTCTGAATGACACCGTCCATCCCCTTCATAATAAGTTAATGGCTGCGAAATCCTTACGCCCCATGCGTCGATGCTTCCGCCACATCCCTTGTCGCACTTCGGCCTATCGGAATTCCATACTGCCATTTCTAGCCCGGTATCTCACCTGCAAAGATGTTGAAAAACAAAAACAAAAACTCGATCTTGCACCTTAAAGTCCTTTTTTCTCCATATATAATCATGTCCACTTGTCCAAAACCTGTTAATCTCTATGGTAATCAATGTGTACTGGAGAACCGTTTTTGCTGAAAGTTTTGAAAGTTATTTTCAAAGTAAAGCAGTCCTCTCTCTCTCTCTCTCAAAAAAAAGATTGAGGTACAAACCTCTTCGTGGCCATCAGAGCAGACGGCCGAACTCTACCATCAGAGAATTCATATAAAATGGATCATCCCGGCTGCCACTTCGGGAGGGTCCTCAGTCGTCGATCTGCGAGGGAACCATTAACAAACCACCCCGTGTCACCAAATACCGATCAAGATCGTCCGCCGTCTGTGGACTACGAGTTGGGAAATCCAGCCGATAGTTATTGGATAAACGCAGGATGCCGAGTCAAGTCCATCAGAAGTCCGGCAACACGACCGCACTCATCCACTGGGCGGACCGATCTGACTGTATCGGGAGGTATGGAGAGCCTGACAGATGTCGCAGGACATCCAGATGCCATCATTGTCCACAACTGCAGGCCAAAATGAAGTCATAGTGTTCGTGACATTCACTTCAGAATTCACCCCCCTCCCCCCCGTCGATCTCCCGAATTCATATTCGGAGCGGTGATCACTTCCAAAAACACAATGGGGACTCCGGAAGGGACCTAAGGCCACATATATGATTTTTGCCGGTAAGGTGTGGTTATGTAGCCCCACCTGATGGACCTGTTGGAGTTGAGGCTAGGGTAACTATTTCTAAATCACTCAAAATACAACCGCGCATTCTCAACAGCTTTTCTTTTGTTAAGCAGTACTTGACCTAGTCGCCTGCTCATTCCCCGGCCCCGCCTGTGAAAACCCCATTACCACCGGTCCCGTATTACAGGTGGCTGGTGTTTGTTTACTTCAGGTTGGACTACATAACCACATCTTACCTTTTTGTCACCCGGCAACCGCGAGGGTAGTGCTAACGAACGAGAACTAGCCGTTGAAAACGTAAACCACGTTAAAAAAAGAAAGAAGTTGGTTAGGGCGGCTGCATGATTCTGCCGCAGCAGTTTAAGCTGGCATCGACACCCCTGCTACTGTTATCGTCACGCCTTCTGTTACAACCATCACCACCACCACCACCACCACCACCACCACCACCACCACCACCACCAACAACAACAACAACAACAACAACTAATTAGTTCCAGAACAGAAAATGAGGTGCGAGACGTCGCATTTAAGGATTCCGGTTACGTCAAGCCAGCGCATCCAGATTGGTCAGCCTGTCGCAGCAGCTTAAGCCATGGCGAGACTCTAGCCACTGCGACCTTTAGGCTCGGTCCCAGATAGAAAGAGAAGGAGTTGGACACCAGTTGCGAGAATGGTGTACTCTGTACGAACTCCTTGGAGGAGGGATCGGAGAGAGTTGGCAGTCGGACGAGGGTACGCCCTATGCCGGCAGAGCGACGTCCCGAGTATGAGATTGTGGGGAGTCGTCCAGCGCCCTCAGCGAGGTCATGTCTGAGTCAGCGCCGAAGATGATTGGCCAGTTTGGACAGCCGCTATCGGCCGAGAACCAGACTGTGATGGGAGAGCACTTGCCAGTAATCGCAAGAGGCTCACTGTTGCAACATGCGCCCGAGGCAGGGCCACTGGAACTGCATGAGGAGGTGCCTCACGAGCAACGGGGAGTCTTAGGTTGACGTCGTAGTGACAAATAGTAGGATACGGTTGTTTATCCAGTCCTAGTCATTCCCGGTTTCATGTTTTCTACCCTACTGATGGAATCTAGAAACTTAGTATCGGCATGACCCATCCAAAGGAGGGAAAACTGTTCAATCCCGGACTTATGCGACTTAAAATAAAAGTGTGGAGAGCCAGGGTTCACGACCTTCTACTGTCGGACGAAAGAGCGCTGAATACCACAAGCGAGGAGAACATGAAGCGGGGGGATGGATCACTTAACTCTCGTCGTTCTAACGGACTAAGCATCAGCACGGAGAAGACCGCGGCCATGTACCAACTGGCACCAACTAAGGAAAGCAATGGACTCCTGAGGAGCGTCAGTGGAGCTGACCTCACAGCCTTGTGTCTGGGGATTATCGTTCCAAGAAACCTCAGGGTAGAAAAAGCAATTGCAATTCGAATCTCTGAAGTTAATCAAGCCTTCGGCAGGCTGAAACACTAAGTCTGAAAGCGAAGAGGCGGGATCATTACGCTCCCCCAGATATTTTAAGGGCCATCAATCACAAGGGATATCTACAGAATCAACAGTTTAAAATAAGCTAATGGAAGTGGAGAGGCGAGTTCCAGGACGTAGTCGCGAAGAAGGAGACATGGTCGCTGGAACAAGTGCTTTATTAGCGTGACGTTTTAGATTCTCACTCGAATGTCCATCATCAGAGGCAGAGCCAGATAAGGGGGGGGGAGGGGTAAATTGCTCAGGTGTTGCAGTATTTATAGGATGTATTTGCTAGGCCGCCACATGCCTATCGCAGTTGGCAGCTCCCGAGTTCATCACAGCTCGGCTGGATAGGCGTTGAAGTACGCCGTTGTCATGTGGTTGCTATGCGCCTGTATGCCGGTCAAGATCATCAGCTCCCATGCTCATCGCACGCCACCGAGGGGCTCACTACCGGATTTCGTTATCCGTGTGGACTCTTGGGTGATTTGGCTCACCGATATTGCTACCACAGACAGTGGTTATCTGCATGTTCTCCTCGCGGCCAACTACTTTGCCTAGGCTAGGCCTCAGCACCGAATAGGGAATGGGGAGATCGTTGTGCTTGTTGATTGAATGAGGACCGCGACTAAGTCTGGAGTCGCGATGGCATCTGTTGCCGACAGCCATCATGGTCATGTCTGGCGTCCTTGTTCAAGGTCCCTTGCGTCAGGGTCATCCACCCTCGTAGCGAGCACTGCCAGACGCGCTGACCTGCGGCCACTTGGGGGACTTCAACTCGCACGCACGTGCGCTCACAGAGTCGCAGCTGCCCGTGGGCCGCTTGAACGTACCACCCCTCGGCAAATGCAACACACACCGATTGGACGCTATTTGCGCTCAGCCCACAAACTTACAAAAGCGGCTGCCGCCACTGTCTCACCAACACTGTCAGGCGTTGACAGTCAACACCAGCCCTTGCTTCGCCAGCGACCACTGCCGCCTGAGAGGACAACAAACGTCTCATTCTGGTGACTTCTGGCTTTTCGTACAGCTCGGGATTTGGCCTGATGGCAGTAGAGCTCTGAGTATTTTTTTTCGTCGCTTAGACACTACAAACTGGTGACCCTGACCCAGCACTGCCTATTCTCCTCTAGGAGACGGAAACATGAGCAGTGTACCAAAGCCAGCCAGGAAACTGTGTCACTATCGTAAGAAAACGGACATGTTCAGCTAAGGGGGTTCAAGCTGGGATGCAACGGCCACGTCGTGAGTATGCCCGACAGGCTCTTGTCAAGGGGACTACTCTACAGTGACGTCACCATACGTGTTTGCCAGCAACACTGCGATGCAGTTTCTGTTCATTCGGATTGGCTGTCCGCGGGCTGTCGGAGAACGAAGGCGAACCGCCGGCAGCATACGCTGACTGCCCGCATGCCTCCCTTGCGATCTCGCACCCAAATTACGCATAGGCCTGCTCGGACACCTGCAAATCGACCGTAGCACGACAAGAGATTCAAGTTCTGGGGGTCCTGACCAAGAATCCTTGTTGCCTGTCTTGCCTACCCAAACTGCACCAAGAATACACCGCCATATGCGCATACACAAGACAGAAGCCGCTAAGGCGCTACAGCGTGGGCCGATATTGCATCACCAGGCCCTCCACACACACGCACAGAGAGGGGAAAAGAGACTACTTCAGCAGCGGCCCAGCTTCACCAGTGGCCAGTACCGCCTGAATTGATAGGGCAGGTAGTACATCTGTTACCGGTTTTTCAAGAGGTCAGCAATGTCGACGTATGAAGTCGACAGCA